ACCCCCTGATCTGAACAGGAAAGCAGCTTACCCTCCATCCTGTTTCAAGGCAAAAAGATGTCTAATGATAGTTAGTTCAGGCACCTCCTCAAAGAGTTCACCTTCGGACCGAAAGTCAGAAAACATAAAAAAAAAAAAAAAAAAAAAATTTAGTCCTGTATTTATTTTCTTGAGAAAGTTGTTCATATGGGAAACTACTGGGGTACAATAACCATTGGTGAACTTTAAGTGTATTTTCTCCTACAAGTGGCACATCAAACAAGCAGCACTTCAAAACGCAAGCTAACGTCCAGCCTCTTACCCACCGACTATCTGACCTGGAGTTTTAGCACAGTACTGGCTTCCCATCAAATCTGTACTAAAGCCTTATAAACCCACTTAAATCAGACTTTCAAATGGCAGGCTAACCCATCTTGTGAATCTCTGTTTTCCACCTACTCACACCACGTTCATAAATGAGCTGCTGACAAAAGGCACAAAATATGCAAGTGATGAACTCCAGTCTCCAACCTGTCTAATTCTAAACTACACGAGTTTACACCACGCATGATTGTCAGTTCAACGCTTGGTAGTTTAATAATGAAGAAATACTTCTGGCTGGTAAATAACAATTCCGGTGCCAAATGCTAGTACAGTACTGTACAAATGTTAGTATTAGTATTAGTACAGTATTAGTACAAATTTTAGTTAGTATTGGAGCAGCCGTGACTGTGGTAGGAGTCCACACAGGTCAGAACAAATACCCTGTATTATTACAGAACAAATAACCTATATTATGTATTATTGCAGAAATACATGCTGCCACCAAAAAAAAAAAAAATTATCACTAAACTCTCATACTAATTCATGCTAACTGTAGCCACAAGTACTGCAGCGTAGCTGCTCTACAGTTACCACAGCACCAGCTAACATTTCACACATAGTAAGAGTCCCTTCTAGGAAGAGATGAGCAGCTACCAATACCTTGCAACATGCAGATGTCCGAATTTAATCATCGCTACCTCTTCTGCATCCAGATAGACTGAAATGGGCGTATGAGTACAGAAGGGTCTGCCTGAAAGGGTGGTACCATCAGTGGTTCCCCCGTCAGTGTTTCCCTGTCATTCTTCAGATGGACTTCACAGAAGCCACCGCTGTCACCAGCACTGCGTTTAGCTGCCTGAGAACTACTGACATGAAACAGCCACATTCGCATCAGGTTTGTCACACGTCTCCAGTTTACCTTTTCAACCATAACATAGTATTATTTCATTTTTTCGCTTCATGAAATATTGCCTGCTTTTACAGGAAAGATGAGTTTAGTTTACTGTTTTGTCTGGTTGTGTTTCAACTCAATTAATAGATAATTTAGTCTGTCAAGTTCCAATTTATAACCAGGTTCTGCCATAACTGAATTAACAAGCTGCTTGACCACACACCAACTAGAGTCTAACAACGTTTAGTTCTGAGGAATATTTATTTCCCTGCCAACTTCGTGATAAAAATCAGTAAAATGATTTGCCCTATTGACCATCAAATATTTTTAACAGTTTTTCATTTTGTGAAAACATATGCAGACAAATTTGAATCCTGTGCTGGTTGAATGCTCTAATTACAGAGAACTCACAGTTATAAATGCCAGAATTTGCAATGAAAACTCCAGCCAGGAAAATATTTTCCAGTGGGATTTTCATGAAGCTGTTCTTGTCAAGCAGAGTTTACTCTTGTTGTCTTAATAAAACAAGAACTTCAAAAAGTTCACACACCCTTAAGGTTACTATTCTTAAAGAATATATGCGGGGGGCGAGTATTGGGGTTTTTGGTTGTGGTGTTTTGGTTTTTATTTTAGTTAGGCTATGAGCACAACAGACTTTACAAACAATCCAGAATGTACAGAGCCTCATAAGAGAAGAGGCAAAGAATGAATCTGGGTTTGGGGGAAAAAAAAAAACAAAAACGAAACTTGTTTGAAAAACTGTAACAAGCACCATAAAACCTGGACTCTAGTTTCTCATCCTTGGACTTTTTATACGTTCAAGTCAGTGACTTGGAGGAGCCCAGATCTTTCCATTCAGGCTGGCATCACAGCCACTTTTACATGAGGACGTTGGTCATTCACAACACACAAAAAAATTACATTATAGACACTTAAGGTACACATGGGCTCTTTATACCAACAAGCCTTCAGGACTATATATTCCTGAAGTAATTAAAACTAAATGATCATAGCTTTAAAATGCTGGTTCTACAAATAATCCAGAGCATGCACCTCAGAAGACTGCAGTGTTACATTTTCTTAACTACTAAGCTGACTAAACATTAGTTCAGTTTATATTTATGCCCTATGTGAAGCTGGGAAGGTTTCAAGCATTTAATTGCAAGATAAAATTTCGAAAACAAAATAATTATGTATTCAGATGTACTAAAAATATCTAACACCATAATATATATATTTTATGGCCCTTATGCTTTATTAGATTTTCCAAAAATCCAATTCAATTAACAACATTAGCACTAGCAATTAGCATGCTGCCAGGAATGTCAAGATTTGTATCCAAATATCTCTGCATGCCATCATTATGGCTGTTCATGTACTTCAAAAAGAAGATTAAAAGCATGATTGAAGAGGTTGTTAATGTTTTACATGAAGGTTCTTTTCTTTTAGTTCATCTGGTTGTACAAAAGCTCATTTTGTTGATCCATCACTTTTCTGATTAGTCTGATGAATGAAGCATTGACTTATGTCTGCATACTTCTGTGGTACAACACGATTGCATTCATTTAACAATTAATCAAAGACAATGACATACTTAGGAAGATATCATTTAGTTTTGCTTATCAGTTTGCTCAGCAAGAACAAATTCTCAGGCTCCTGAAAATGAAATAGTGCAACATAAAATGATAGAAATGTCTTGCTTTGATTTAGTATAATTTGAGTGCCTAAACACACTTTAAATAATTTATTTCCAAATGACAATAAAAGCTATAAATTATTTCTTCTTTTCACTGGCAGTTTAAATAAATCGAAGGGCAAAACCAGTTTTAACATCATTTCCTTTTTAATTAGGATTTTTTTCAAGGCTTATACCAAAAATGGTAACTTTTTTTCCAGAAACTATGTAGCATTAGTCTATATCATACAGTCACTTTTGCCTTTTAATTAATTTTAATTCACATTAAAAACTATCACCACTATAAAATAAAAACACTTATGAAAATAATCTTACAACCTTACCATAAAAACTAAGGGCTTAATAAGTTTACCATCTTTTAGTACTTTCACTATTTATATAAAACAAAAATACGTACAAAGCCCTTTTAAAGTACTTAAGAAAGATTACTAGATAAATAATTATATGGCATGAAATTACATTAATCCATTATTTTTATGCAAGTACTCATAACTAAGTAATACCTTAGAACTTGTTCTCATTGACTTTAACATCGCAAGGTTAAGATCCAAAAATAAAAAAAACCTATGACTATTGTATTACTAGAAAGTAATTGGATTTAAATGAGTTTTTCCTAACTATATAGCTTTGAAAAAACATTCTTCATACTGTATACAGGCTTAACAAATATATAAAAGGAGAAACAGCACTTGCCCGCTCGCAATTGAGGAACACTTCTGCTGCAGAAGCTGGAAATCTCAAACAAAGCTTACTCCAACCTTCTCAAATAAAACCAGACATTTTAATACAAAACCCCAGCACAGTTTCCCAACCATTTTAGCTCCAGTTGAATATTTCCCATTAGATAAAAGCAGCGTTTGCACAAATCTCAGCAAACTTCTCACTTTTGGGGTTGGTTTTTTTTTTTTTGGTCATTTCGTGCAAAATTTGTGAGGTCCTGGTGTCATGTACTTGAGCCCACACACATCCACAAGAAAAATGCAACCACATGCACTTTGGGAGAACCCAACACACACTGCAGTGAAAACAAAGCAGGAGCCCAACTCTACGTGTATAAGACTCCTGCATGTTCTCAAGAGCTGAAGGATTTTACCTGCCCAGTTTCTTTTACTTTAATTAGAGTAGTCAAACCTGATACATCTCTTTCACATCCACTGCTCCCACTCTCTCCAGCTTACAGAATGCTTGGAATCTTGCTCACCCTCATGTTAAAAGAGAAAGCCAAACTCTGCAAAGGGCTACCAGCTGGGCTTCTAAGTAGCATACAGGTACGTGGCACTCCTTGATCTCAGCATTGGCGATGGTCTAAATATTTTTTAAACTCTAAACTTTTAAAATGCGTGCAAGTTTGATGAGCTTTCTCATTTTGGTTTTTTTTGTTTTTGTTTGGTTGTTTTTTATTGTCCTCAAAGTCACTGACTTCCCGATGAAGATGATGACATTTGGCTCCCTTGACAGTTGAAGCCTCATCACAGTTAAATTGTACATACAGCCTTGTGCAGGGGAGACTATTGCTTTTCAGCTGCTGTTGGCTCCGCTATGCAGCCTCCAAACAAAGGAAAAATCTGGGTACTTGGAATTATTTTTAAACTTGCCCACAGCCAAATGCAACTGCAAAATTCCACATCCACATAAGAGAAGGCAAAGCCTCTGAATACATGCAGAATTAACTTCCATCAGTTACAAATGCTGTTACTTTACACACACAATTAACTGTAGGGATAAAGCAAAGTCTAGGTTATTTAGCTACTGCACAGCCAAGAGTCAAAAAGGTAGCATAAGGGTTTATTTCAGAGCACTCAGACTCACGTTCCTGTAATTATTAGTACTTAAGAATTTGAGTTATTTTTCCCTTCAGCAACTCCTCTACTAAATGAAGTGGATTTTTGCAAATGAGATGCTGCTTGTCTTTCAGTCACAGCATAATGCAGTCTAGGCAATAAATTCTTTCCCACTGTGTGCTTTGCAATTACAATTCCTCACCGATATCATAACTCAACACGGTAATAAAAAATAATCAGTATTTATCTAGTGCCTGTGGATGAAAACTTTTCTTACACTGTTGAAACAAAGCAGAAGTTAGCTGGTTTTAGAGGTTACGAAACATACCCAGACAAGAAGCAACAGATTTCTTTTCACTGTTCCACAGTAGCCCAGCATTCCAACTATGATGAGGAAACAGCAGACTGCAATCATGACCGGGTGGACCACAGGAAAGTAAGTCAAAATGACAGCCTCCTCCACCCTAAAACCAACAAGAACCATAATAAAAAAAAAAAAAAGCATAATCATACAAAAATGATACAGAAGAAAAACTTAATATAGCCATTAAAACAAAACCCGTGGATTAGCAGATATGTTCTTTCCAGTGCCTTACACGTTTCACAGAAATCTCTTCTACATGGTTTTGAAGTCAAATGCTACATTTGGGTACCAGAAAGTAATGCATAATCCGGAACCTCTTTGGAGCAAAGGCGATCTTCCTGTCCTGTACTTGCACACTATGGAGCGCAATGAGGCCCTGTTCCATCACGAGGGCTCATAAGCACTGCTGTAATAAAACTAACAGCATTCCTAAATCTCTGGACTGAATACACTATTTGAAACTAAACAGCAATATAATATGGTTACACGTTGGCAAAGGGCCAAAAATTGATCCCTGTCAGAAGAGAAAGGCATGGGAATAAAACAAGATTGAATTCATCTCTTTCCCCCTTCTCTAATTTCAACTGATGCCAGAAATGGCAGCAAAAATACACCTTTCGACAAAACAATAATTAGCTCAACTGAAGGCTTCTTAATTCTAGAAATCCTAGTTAAGAAACTTGCCGTACAGAATGAACAACATATACCACAATCAATTACCCACCCAGATTAATAGGTTTAAGGAAAGCTTTACCTTGTTTCTGCAGTTAAAGTGAGAACATTATTCAGGTAGTCTCTCATCCAAGCAGAAACACCTAATACACTGATGGACATCAACTAAAAAAAAAAAAAAAAAAAAAAAGATTAAGGTATTTATCATGTACTTAAAAAAACTTGCAAGATCAGTCATAATTTAAGGAGAGGATCAATCATCAGTAACATCTTTCATGCATTCATTTATCCGGACAGCATACCGTCCCCAAAAGTGTACTTCTATAAGCTTAGAGTTGGTTTGTTGCCCAAGCATTTAGGGAGGCAGTGACAATAACCTTCTCTTCCAGTACACGTAATTAATGCCTGGAATACCTCCTCTTCCACCCAGTGATGCCACTGCTGTCTCAAGTCCCACCGCTGCACAACGTACCACAGAAACAACAGGGAGGGTTTATGCTGCTAAAATCAGACTCTTCTACGGCTCACAGGTGATATCCACCGGTCTGTACAAAACCACAAAGCTACACAGCCAGTGAAGAATCACCTGAAGCCCCATACAGGATACAACAGTAGTGATACATTGACACATGGGGGGGGAGATTTATCTTAGGGTTAAATTCAGAAGAATCTGATTCTCTCACTCATTCAGATACAGTCACACCATGAACACTATGCCTCAGTTTACTAAACCATAAAATGACAATAAAACTCACTGATTCAATTATAAACCCCAGATCATCATGGTGTTTGGGTACCTAACCTGCTAGCCAGTCAAGAGGCATAAAGCCACTACACTTTCACCAGGATTGCTCCTACAGCAGATAAAACCCTGAGACTGAACCCGCCCAGAATTGCCACCACCTCGGCAGACCCATATTTCTGTCGCCTCATGCCATCATCTGCTCCAGCAGACCTAGGATCTACCAGTAGAAGCTTTGGCCTCTGATTTTCCTCAAGAAGTCAAACCTGAACGACATGGTCTGAACGTACCTGCCACACCGCAACAGCATCAGCTCTTCTGCTGCTGTAGCAGAAGTACCACGAGAGGACGAAGCACTCTTCACGGCACTTCTCTGCATATTTTGCACTGGGCTAGGCAAGTCAGTAGGTCCCCTCTCCTGGAGGAGGGCCCACCAACCAGTGGCAGTCATCCCCACCTTTGTGTGTGCTCTTTGGCCCCAAGAGCACCAATTCTCCTCCTGCAGGCACAGGACAGACGGAGCACCACTCCCCAAACAGAAGGCAAGAGATGCAGCTATAAACTCCTTCAGGGAGAGGAGGTAACCACTAAGCTTTTCTATGAAACAGAGCAAAGTTAAGGTCACTAATGCCACTACTTACTTCTCAAAACATTTCAGGGAATTCAGCTGGTTTATTATACCCAAAGGAAAATTTAGGAATGTCAATCTCATGTGGGCACCTAAGCCTGAACCGCAGCTCAGGGGCTGAACCTGGCAGCCTCAGAGCTTGAGAAGCACCACTGTCTAGCTGAGGGAGGGACACTTAAGCATGCTGGTTCTCCCAAATGCTACTGTCTTCATGCATCGTACAGGTGCATGCCAGGAAACCCCAGCATTATACTAACAGCTTCTTAAATCAGTGAGAAGTGCTAATCTTCCCTGTTGCCTTCAACAGCTAGCTTCCCACACTCCCTCATATTTCCCTAGAGTTCTTCATAACAAGTTCACTGGTTGAAGCCTAACCCACAAGAAAAGTCAGTCTGTGTCCTTACTGGCTCTCCTTTGCCTGCAGCACATCCACAGCAGGCTACTTCTGCCTTTAAAATTTCATGAGAAGTCCAAGTGACTAGCCCATGGCTTCCTCCTGCTTTCCAAAACTGATGCACAAAGTACAGGCACTGCCTTGGTTCTAGGTGGTGCCAGCGAGAGCCCTGGGTGCTCGGCACACTGCAAGCATACTCCTGAAAGCTAGTGAATGCTGCAAGTCTACTACATACACACATGTCCTTTACACTCAGCAGGATCTATTTTGGCTGGTGGAACAGTAGGAGTAAAGAGCATTTTCTGTTGTGTTACTTGCAGGAAGCTGTAGAAGCAAGGAAAAGATGACTACAATCTCCTCCTAGATAAACTCCTCGGCAACAGCTAACTCCTTGGAAGAAAGCATCAGGCAAATATACCACACAAGCAATAAAAATCATGTTTCTAACACAAACCAAAGTAAAGAAGACTACAAGCAGACAGCCTACCTTCTTATGGTCAAGAAAGCAACAGAAAACATTTTTAACCCTCCACATCTCCCTGCAAGGCCTGCTGATACACGCAGAGAAAATGTCAGCTCGCACTTCCACTCTTTATAGTAAAATACTTAAAAGCAATTTGGTTACTTTGCTTTACAGCAGTGGTGCTCAGGAGGGAGAAGTCCGTCAAAACCACACTCCTCAACAACTTTTAATAAGAGCCAGACAGTCCTACTACAAAAACTCTACCAGAATAATGTTCACTTGCTAAATCATGTTTTTCCTCCCATACCAGACTGGTGGGCTGCGTACTCCCCGCTCTGCATTAGGAACTCGCAGGCTGCACTCATTTTCTTTCAGCCTTGGGTATGCGGCAATACATTCCCATACAGCAACAGGAGGAGGTGGATCCTGCCCCTCTACTCTGCTCTGGTGAGGCCTCACCTGGAGTACTGCATCCAGCTCTGGAGCCCTCAGCACAAGAAGGACAATGAACTGTTGGAGCGGGTCCAGAGGAGGGCCACAAAAATGATCCAAGGGCTGGAGCACCTCTCCTATGAGGACAGGCCGAGAGAGTTGGGCTTGTTCAGCCTGGAGAAGAGAAGGCTGCCTTTAGGTACTGAAAGGGGGCCTATAGGAAAGATGGGGAAAATCTTTTTAGTAGGGCCAGCTGTGACAAGACAAGGGGTAATGGTTTTAAACTAAACCAGGGTAGGTTTAGACTAGATATAAGGAAGAAGTTCTTTACAATGAGGGTGGTGAAACACTGGAACAGGTTGCCCAGAGAGGTGGTGGAGGCCCCATCCCTGGAAGCATTCAAGGCCAGGTTGGACGGGGCTCTGAGCAACCTGATCTAGTTAGCGGTGTCCCTGCTCCTGCAGGGGGGTTGGACTAGATGACCTCTGGGGGTCCCTTCCAACCCAAAACATTCTATGATTCTATGATCCCTTGGAAGAAGGCAAGCAATCACTCCTTCAGCAGAGGTTAAGATTTGGCGGGCAAAAGTGTCACACAAGGATATTGGAGCCTGCAGGTTATTCAGAGACAACAGGGAGATCATGGAGCAACCAGCTAAAAGGCAGAGGGGATGGAAAGGACTTCCTAGAGACTAGCAGAAATAAGCGGAGTCCTGCCACTGAGAGAATCATTCCGTTTCCTACAATAAAAGACTTGCCACCAAAGGGAAATCAGGTAAGAGGAGAACTTTCATTTCTGCTCTGTCTGCCTAAGTTGAGTTTTTTCTACCGAGATACGTATTTTTGCCCATATAAAATCAGGGAGGGGTAAGTCTAGGTAGATACATCTCCAAGCTGTGTCCAGCGCACGGCCACATGACTTCCACAGAAACGCTTAATGACCATATCATGGAACACGACTCCATTTTCACTTATCGTGAACAGCAGCTGGAAGAAAAGGACTGCTTCCGTTCACCTCAGAAACACAACCTTCACCAATAACATAACTACTTGAACACTATTTCAGTTCACAAGAACAAGCTCTCTGTGAAAGGTCCCATGCTTCATTCAAAAAGCTTTTAGCCATTTAGGTCCCCCCGGCTGTTCTCCTTCAGTGTGAATAGCTAACGGCCAATTATTACTGTTTCTTGCTGGACATAAGTCACATGCAAGAAAATTCCCTCTGTAATCGCTGTGAGAGCCAGGCTACAGCTCAACCCGCTCACCTACCCCGTGCTCGGAATGATCCCACCACCATTAACTCCTTCAGGTGTTACTGACTTCTGCTACGCTTACAATGCACATATCGTATCAACACAGGAGCTAGCTCAGCACTACCCTAAAAACGTACACGCACAAAGCCTTACCCCGCTGCTACACAGATGTTACGCACAGATTACCTGCGCAACACCCTCCTGCCCACCAGATGGATTCCTTGGGAGGCACCTTTGGCACCTTATTTTGAAGAAAGTCCAAAAGAATTATGACTCCAAATGACCTGAAAGGCAGAGTGCTGTGCCAGTCCATGAAAGTCAGTAACACTGTCGAACTGGGGTGGCATAGAGACACGGCTCAGAAAGAGAAGAGGCAAACACTCAAAAAGCTCTCCTTGAACAGAGGCCCGGGGGATAGCAAATGGCAGTAACTCAAAAAAGCGATCCAGCAATAGGTTGATTACAAAAGGTGTATTTTGTGGCACATAACCCTGCAAGCGCTTGGTAGCTCTTCACCAGCAAAGAGAAGCGCTGGGAAAAAAGTTGTACCCCTTCTCATCAGCAGAAGTGAGCCTCTGGGCAGGAACACCCTGCAGGATGCATCTGCAACGCCAGACTGACCCTGCGCAACGACTGATGCTTAGTTTAGAGACAAAAGGCTATCAAGCACTAACTCGCACCCATCAATCGACGTGCTCACCTGCTCCACAGCCACGGGGGAATTGCAGCACGACGCACGCCTGACCTCCACAGCCTCCTGCTGGTGACTCAAGATGCGTACGTGCTGCCCTGTAAAGCACTACGCACCCGCAAGCGCCCTCGGACATCAAGGAGGCTCCAGGCACCCCCCACACCACAGCAGAGGCAGATCTTCAGCCACCAGCACAGGAATTATGCTAACACCAGCAGTACAACTCGGCCCATGGGCTCAGTAGGCAGGAACGGTAACAACCTCCCCAAAAACCTTGGTGTGCATTCAAACCTACCAGCAAAGAACAGCAGTCACAGCACTGCAATTCACTGCCACGCGATTTTCAAGGAGTCATGGGCAGGGGCAAGGTCCCGATGACAGTTTTTGCTGGTTGATTTGGTGGATGGAAAAAAGGCAGCCTTAAAAAAAAATGACAGCCCCTACTTCAGCCATTGTTTTGTAATTAATTTAGATGTAAAATGCAGTTAGAAATCTGTATCAAGCAATCGGATGAAAGGACACAAGTTTACGAGAAACAAAACTAGCAAGATGATTCTC